ACTTAAATGATTTTTTATTTTTCTTTCACCTAGAATTATCAGTACCATTGTCCAGCCCTCTTTCATAATTTTAGATGGTAATGACCTTATCTTGAATCAATATAACAAATTCTTTCTCATTCACATATCTTACTTGGACCATAAATTAAATACAATTTTATCTCATGTTGACTAATTGTGAGGAGGTTATGTTGAAAGTATTTTCATTTCTGGGCTAGATTTGATGTCTGATTAGTTGGACTTCTCTGAGTTACTACTTTCCTGTAATTATTTCATATATATATCTATATCTGTCTATAGATAGATATGTATGTTACGAGAAGACTTACTGTTAAAGCAGTCCTTAAATTTTGCAATGCAAATTGTGTTCATAATTATTCCTTTGCTTATAGTAATTGTAGTAATGCATATCATGTTCAGTTAGTTTTAACACCTTATATTTGTATTGATCAATTTTGTAATACCAATGAGTGGTGTTCTACTGATAGCCTAATCCTATTTTTAGTCATCAACCTCAAACAGCATGTTCCCAAAAGTTTTAATGGCAAATTTAAGCTTTAATAGTTTAAAACTAAGACTTTTGGGACACCTTGTATGAGCTCCCATAAGAGAAAATGATTTTTTTAAAAAAATCATTTCCTCCCATCCTGTTTTTTCATTTATAAAATAGGGGCTAGATAATCTCTAAGGTGCCTTGATACTCTAAGTTCTTAACGTGGGGTCTATTAAGATGGATTTTAAAAAAAACAATTGTAATTGGCTTCCTTTGTAATTCTGTGTATTTTATTTTAGATACTTGAAAATATTCTTTTTTTTTTTAAGCTAGGCATTGGGGTCAAGTGACTTGCCCAGGGTCACACAGCTAGTTAAGTGTTGTATCTGAGGCCGAATTTGAACTTAGGTCCTCCTGAATCCAGGGCCGGTGCTCTATCCACTGCACTATATAGCTGCCCCTTAAAAATATTCTGAAAAGGGTCGTAGTCTTAACCAGACTGCCAAAGAAGGGGAGGGATTAATGACATAAAAATGATTGAGCCCCTCCCTTAGCTCCAGAGATCCCTCTTCTATGAGTTTACTCTAAGGAGATCAGACAGAAAGGTCTAATATGTGCCAAAATATTCACAGCAGCACTTTTTATGGTAGCAAGGACCTGGAAACAGAGTACATTCTCATCATCTGAGAATAGCTGAACAAATTATGATACCAGAATATGATAAAATATTACTACATTGTAAGCGTGCACCAATGCTGAGTGAAGTAAATAGAACTTGAAAAACACTCTGTGTGCGTATGAATGCTGTATAATAATCATGATGTAGCTTGGTCTTAGAGAAGAGGTGAGAAAATGTAGGTCTTTCCTTTCACTGAGAGGTTGAGGGCTATGGGTGTGGAATGTTGGGTTGTTATGTTGGTTGCTTTTGCTGAACTCTTTTTTTTCTTTTTTAACCTTTGCTACAAGGGAAGGCTTGTTGGATAGGAGAGTTAAAAAGGTGTGTTTGGAAAGAAACTTAATATAAAAACAAAAAGCAATCAGTCTTTTAAAAAACAAAGAGAAATAAATAATCTGATAATCCTGTCTTCTGGATGGAAAAAGAAACACCACCATCTATAGTATTTCCAAATGTATAGGAGACAAGAGTTTTAGTTAGATTAAATTCTTCTGTCTTAAATTCATTTCTTGCATAAATTCAAATTCTCCTATGTCTTCAGTACTGATAGGGAACAGCCTTAAAGTGTATAAGCATGAAATAGTGGTTTCTATCCTGTCTTTGACTGTGACTTCTGGCAAGTCACTTAATCTTTCAGGGTTTAGTTTCCTCATCTGTAAAATGAAGGGGTTGGATTAGATGACCCCTAATGTCTCTTCTGGCACTGGGTATATGCTCCCCTGATCATATTAATGAGTCAATTATAGATTATTCTGAATGAATAGCTGCTCATTTGCTAACTTATAGAAATGGCAATAAAATGAATTATCACTGTTTGGAGGATCCAAGCGTAAGATCCAAATTAATTTTTCACAGATATTTAAAATAAGAAATTTATACTGCCTCTGTGGGAGTTACAGGAAAAAAGAAATTTGTAATAAGTGCGTTATGTGGTCACTATAGTAAATATTTCACGCAGTAAGAAAAAAAAAACTACCTTAAGATAATATATTAAAAATACTAGCACTTATCAAGTTTAGTAAATTAAGGCAGAGGAGGAACCATGAAAATAATTTATAAAATCATGAAAGGTAAGAATAAATTGAATGTGGATTTACTGAATATTGGAATTGAGAGACCTCTTTTGAAGCTTGAAAGAGGAAGTTATAAAATAATGTTAAAAGAAATTTTGCCATACATAGTGATTACTAAATTCTGAAACCCCAAAGTGATATAGATAGAAAATATAAAGAGATTTAAGAAAAGTTTATACACATCTGTGGATAGTAGAAGTTTATGTCAGAGATAGCTCCATGCTGGCATATGAACTATCCTAGGGCATCAGAGTTGGAGATCTGATACTGGATTAGATGGATCATTTTGCTGACAGCAAAGATGTGTGATGGTAAATGTTTAACAGTCACCTCTCCAGAAAAAGAAAGTGTGCATGATACTTTCAAATTTAATCAGCATTGTTAACATTTTATTCATCACTTTCTTAAGTTTAGACAATTAACAATACAATAAATCAAGCCGTAATATATAACATTTGCTGATTTCTGAGGTATAAATGCTCACATTAAAATTTAATAATTAGCTCTTGTAAGCCATGGCTCCAGCACACCCTTGCCTTACATACTTAACACTAAGAACACAATATGAATCATATCATTGATTCAGTTACGTTAAGGACAGGGCCTGTGGGCTCGCTCGCTCTCTTTCTCTCTCTCTCTCTCTCTCTCTCTCTCTCTCTCTCTCTCTCTCTCTATCTGTCTCTCTCTCTCTATATATATATAGATATATATATACACACACACACACACACATATATATATCTCCTTGTATCATCTACATTGCCTTCAATGATAGTATTAGTTAATATTATTATTAATATTGAGCTAGTTAGTTCACATTTACGTAATGCTTTTTGCATCTGGAAAAATACTGTATGTCATATTATTTTATCCTTAAAACAAGGTCAGATGTAGTGTAGTAGACAGAAAACTGGCCTTGAAGCCTTTTTCAGGCAACCAAATTTCCACATAACTTTCCTTAAGCCCTCATGACTGACAGTATCAAAGGCCTCGGTCAGATTATGAACGTTGTGTACAGATCTCTGTTCTGCTCCAGGCATTTCTCCTAGAGTTGTCAGGCAGCAAATACCATACCAATTGTTCCTCAGCCCTTTCTGAAGCCACGCTGTCTCTCAGGTAGATGACCATCTTCCAAGTGAAAGATCAGCCAATCATGGAGGACTCTGACAAGAATCTTGGCACCCTGCCCCCCTCATGATTTTAATAGGACAATATATTTCCTTTACCTTTATAGAGATGGACAATGGAGGCATCCTTGAACTCCTGGGAGATGACCTCTTGCCATATAACCTGGAAAATTTCAGTTAGCTTTTGCATGAGCAATGAATCCCCTGTAAATCTCAGCTGGAACAGAATCAGCACCAGGTGCTTTGCTACAGGAGAGGAGCCTAATAGCGTTCAAAACCTCTTTTTCAGTTGGAAATTTGACTAGAGAGTAACTGATTTCGACCTAACGTAGCATTGATTGATGGCCTGTTGAGAACACTATGGAAAGTGTTCAGCTCACCTCTCAGTGACCATGTCTTTATCACTAATCAATGTGATTCCATCAGGACTGAGTAATTGAGATGCGCCATATGTCTTTGCCTCATAAATAACCTTCAGGGCATCATAAAAGTTACTATCAGTGTAAAACTGAATTTCATCTGCTTTCTTACTGAGCCAAGAATTCTTCGTCTCTAAGCTTCACTTGTACTTACCTTTTGATGGAATTTAATGCTGCCTTCTTAGAGATGAATGAACTATCCTGCTGGTAAACCCTGTGGAGCTCTCATTTTTCATTTAGCAGCTTCTGAATGTCTCCATCATTTCCATCAAACCAGTCTTGATGTTTGCAAGTGTTCTGACCCATATGAGTAAATGCAGTGCTGTACACCAGATCTCTGAAAGCTGCCCACTCTTTTTCTGCTCCTCTGTTACCAACTGTGTGTTGGCTCACTTTCCCTCCAAGTTAGCAAGGAACTGTTCCTGCTCAGAGAAGCACTCTAATCTGTTGACGTTAAGACTTCTGATAGACATCTTGCCTTGGAGTTGCTGCTTTTGCTGAATGCAGATATTTAGCTTGGAGAGGCTAAGTCTATGATCAGTCCAGCACTCTGTGCTATACATTGCCTTTGTCACTCTCATGTCCTATGCAACTCTTCTCATTACAATGACATTGTCTGTTAAATGCCATTTGATGCAAGGGTGTATCCACAAAGTTTTATTACGTTTAGGTAAATACAAGACAGTGTTGGTGATGAGAAGGTCGTGAGTTGCACAAGTCTTCAGTAGTAAGTGACCCTTGCTGTTGCTGTTTCCAATATCATTCCTTCCAAGGAGTCCCTGCCATGTCTGGTAGTCTGAGCCTACTCTACGATTAGTCACCCAGAAGTATAAGCTTGTCCTCTTTTGATACATTGATAATAAGGTCTCCAGGTCTTCATAAAATTTTTCTTTGACCTCATCAGGGCTCATCATGGTTTAGAGCACAGGCACTGATGATGATGGTGTGGCACTTTCCTGCAAGTGGCAGTCACATTGTCATGACCCTGTTGTTTACTCCTTTTGGTAGGCATACAAGCTTGTTGACTAGATCAGTTTTGATTGTAAAACCTATGCCAGCTTCACTGCATTCCCCTTCCCTGCAGCCATTCCAGAAAAATGTGTGTCTAACTCCAACTTCGGCCTTCATTTGCTAGCCTTGTTTCACTCAGGGCTGCTATTTGGATGCAATACCTGTTGAGTTTTCTCACAACAAGAGCTGTTCGTTTTTCAGGTCTACTGGATTTTGCTGTCCATAACTGTGCGCACATTTCACATACTGATGGTGAGTAGAATCATCTTTGCAGAAGTTTTTATAGAATTTTTTTTGTATTTTGGCCACAGGGTGAGATCCCACCTGCAATGGTAATCAAGCCAAGGTTGGATAAGCAGATGCTTTTTAGGCCACCTTTTCTAGCCCCTTCCTCACACCAGGAAGTGAGCAGTGTGGTCCTTAAAAGGCTGCTCAGATACCCAGGGAGCTGCCAAATCCTACTGCTGCTTCCAGTGACAAGATGACTTTATGGCCTGGGTTGCCTGTGTGCAGGGTTGTGAGTACATCTCCCAGTGTATCTGCACCTGCTGTTTGTTACTTGACTTTGAGATAGGTAAGAATTTTGATTCATGCATAAATTGGATTTAAGGGAGGTGCAGTTGCACAAAGTTGTTGGCCTCACTCCCTCTTCCGGGTTGTCACAGTCCAGTGGCAGGACACAGTCATGATGACTGGTGATGGCTCAGGTTGCAGTGGATGACCTTGGTGTCTTCCGTGTCTAACCAAGCTCTAAGCACTCCACAGCATTTCCTTCAGCTGTCTTCATGGCCATCAGAACAAATTATTCTCACCCTCCCCCCCCCACATTCCACCAGAGGAAGTCTTCACATGTTTGGGGTAGATAACCCCCTAACTCACCGAAGGGTTTGAGACCTATCAGTTACCCTCAACCTGGGTTAACCCGTCTACCAAAACAGTTTACTAGACTATGGCCACTACACATACTGCGGCTTCTTGGAGCCACAGGTGAGAGTTGAGTGGATCAAGCAGACACCAAAGGTAGAAAGCAGCCCTGAAGAATTCTCAGCAGCCCTCACATCAGCGGCACTGTTCCAGTGCCAAACAAAAATGGTATTTCCTTTCCTCAAGAGGAAACAAACATACATGTATAAATAAATGCAAAATATAAATAAAATAAGTAAATTTGGGGGGGGTGAGGGAGGGAAAGCGCAGCAAAGCTATGTATGAATTCATTGTGTGACATAGCAGCCAAAAATACAGTCATTGGCTGAATTTAAGCCATCCAGGACAAGGGTCATTCCACTGTATTCAACCCTGGTCTGATCACATCTAAATTATTGTGTAAAATTCTGGTCATCACCGTTTCAGAATGACATTGATAACCTGGAGAGAGAACATTTAGAGTTGGGAAACCAAGATATGACCTTATACATAAAGATTGGATGATTGTCTAGCCTTGTGAGGAGAAGATGTGTGGAGCTGGGGAGGAGGCATGATGGCTCTTGAAATATTTGAAGAACTGCCACAGAGAAAAGGAAGTAGACTCATTCTGCTTGGCCTCCAAGGGCAGAATTAGGAGCAGTGGGTTGAAGTTGAAGAGGAGCAAATTCAATCAGCAAGTATTTTTAAAGTGCTTTCCATATGCCAGGCACTATGCTAAGTGTTGGGGTTGCAAAGAAAAAAACAAAATAATCCCTCACCTCAAAGAGCTTACATTCTAATGGGGAAAGCACATGCATATAAATAGGTACATATCACAGTAGATTAAAGTAACTTTAGAGGGAAAGGCACTAGTAACTTGGTGGAGACAGAGGAGGGGAATGGGACATTGAGAGGTCTCTTTGCAAAAGGTGGGACTTAAGCTGACTCTTTAAAAAATTTTTTTATTTTAATGTATTTTCCTTCCTTCCTCCTCCCCTCCCCTCTCTCTCACCCATTGCTCCTGCCCCTTGATGACTCTTAAAGGAAGCCAGAGATTAATTCTTAGAAGCAAAGGTGAGGACAGAAAGCGTTCAAAGCATGGAGGACAGCCATGTGCAAAGACATGGAGAAAAGTGATTAGGAAATGCAGTGTCATAGAGCATAAGCAACAATAAGTAGGCTATTATGGCTGGATTGTAGAGTGAATGAAAGAAAGTGATAAGTCAGAAGATAGGAAGGGCCCATGCTGTGAGGTGCTTCAAGTATCAAACAAGAGTGTTTATATTTGAAACTAAAAATATTAAGGAGCTACTGAAGTTTGTTAAGTAAAGAGGTGACATGGTTAGACATATGCTTTAGACAAATGATGTGGGCACCTGAGTGGAGGATGAATTGATGTGGTGAGAGACTTGAGGCTAAGTCCAGGAAAGAGGTGATGAAGGTCTGAAATAATAAGAGTTGGGGCTGTGGGAAATGAGAGAAGGGACAAAATTTGGCAACCAATTGGATATATGGGGTGAGTGAATGTGAGAAGTCTAGGATGACTCCTAGGTTGTGAATGTAGGTGACTGGGAGGACGATGGTACCCTCAACAGTAAAAGGGAATTTAGGAAAAGGATGAAGTTGTTGGGAGACAGGTTTGGTTTTGGACTAGTTGACTTTGGACCAGATAACCGTAGAACAAACAGTTTGAAATATTTTGATGTAAGTGTGGCATGGGCATGATGTCCACCCCTTTTTCTCTTTGAGTTGGTTTACTTACCCAGGGTGCACTAACAATGGCAAATAATGACAACAACAAAAAGATAAGAAATCCACCAATTTTCAGCTCTCAAGTGTGCCTTTGAATCTTTTGGGGTCTGGTACTCTTGGGAATTTTTGGCCTTGATGTTGTACTAGAAAGCTAAACTCCACAAAAATAATGATAGTTTTGTTCCAGAGGGAAATATTTATTGTCAGAATTCAAACTATAAAGAAATTCTTAGCTCAGTAATAAAAATCTGGACCATGAAAGCAGTCATAAGTTCAACAACTTAAATTTTATGAAAAATGGCATCTATATAATTAAAAAAGAAACTCTTTGACAAGATTTCTAGAAATATAATACTCAAGATAATCTCTTAAAAGAGGAATGGGGGGCAGCTAGGTGGTACAGTAGGTAGAGATCCGGCCTTGGAGTCAGGAGGACTTAGATTCAAATCTGGCCCCAGGCACTTGAAACTTACTAATTGTGTGACCCTGGGCAAGTCACTTAACCCCAATTGCCTCACCAAAAAAAAAAAAAAAGAGGAATGGGATTGCCTCTCCTAAATCCAGTTGGACCTATTTGGCTATACATCTGTGTGGACTTTACCAGGAGATAGATTTTAAAAAGAAGAAAAAAAAATAAAGTAAAAAGAAGCTAGACCTCCATCTTGGCTGCCTGGGAAGGAAGCACAGCCCCAGAGGTTGCTCTGTTATCATTAGTCTGCAGGAGAGGAAGGAAAAGTCTGAGCAGAGCTTCCAGGCTCTTATATCTCAGCAGACAGGGAAGGAAGGATGGGGATAGGAGGCAAGGTGAAGGGCCAAGACTCAGGCAACATACCTGCTACTATTCTGCCAGACTAGTCACATTAGCTTCTCATTCTTGCCTTTTCTGTAGATTAAATGCTTCACTGGAGTTCTGCCGAAAAGAAGGAATCTTGAATGAGGGGAGTGTGTTAATGGAGTGGGAAGTTCCACCCCATCAATTCTGTGACCACTGGGAAACATTTCTGTGCTGGCAGAAGCTAGTTGGAGGAGAGATGGGTTATTGTACTGCCCTCATCCCCATCCACAGTAGCCAAAAGGTGGCAGCTGCTTATCATGGTACTAGCCAGTATGAGGGTACTGAGAACATGACTACAAGGTATCAGTTATTAAACTCCATTATTTCCAAGGAAAATTGGTGCTGCAGGACTGTAACAACCAGGTCGACTAGAGGACCTGCAAGATCTAGTCCACCTTTGAGGCTCTTTGATGGCACAGTTTCTTTTTTTGTTTGTAATTGCAGGGAGTTTTCCAAAGAAAACTTTGACTTTGACTCTTTGTCTCTGGTTCATAGACAAATCACCACATTTTGAAGTTTCTATTTCTCTTAAAAATATATAATTTTGGGGCAGCTAGGTGGTACAGTGGATAGAATACTGGCCCTGGAGTCAGTAGGACCTGAGTTCAAATATGACCTCAGACACTTACTAGCCAGCTGTGTGACCCTGGACAAGTCACTTAACACCCCCCCATTGCCTCCAAAATAAAAAAAAAATTAAAAAATATAATTTTGTTCACCTTTCTTTGACTTTTAAAAAACTCAGAACAAATGGCATCTTCCACTCTGCACTGTTGTTACTCAAAATTCTTTCTTGTACAACTGTTGTGTTGCAGACGTTTTGCCTATGCTTTTGTTTCTTTCAGAATTTATCTAACCTTTTATTTAAAGTTAATGCTTTAGTCATCATTTTTCACAGGTAATCATCATCAGAATGAACTAAATCTCTGGCCTTGTCATAATTTTTACTGGTTTTGAGGGTGTTTGGAGATGATTTAATGCATTATTGTTAATACCCATGCATCTTTAAACTTTTGTTTTAGCCAATAACTCTTGCCTTTGACATTATTTCATCCCAGATGAGTTTCTTTTAACAAAATAACTTGCAGATTTAGCTCCACAAAATTTAATTTTTTTTATTTCCACATTATTAATTTTATGTTTATAGGAAGCAATGTGCACTTTAATCATAGCAACTAGGATAGGAGCAATCCACCAACTTTGAAAGTGCTGTTGCTTTGAACTAAAACTTATCTTACCCCAGGTCTAGGCTGTCATCATTTTTCTGTTTAGTGACACTGAAACTAGGATGACTTGCTATTCAAGACACAAAAAAATCTAAAACTTTGAACTGTTCCTAAGCCATTTGACATTATTGTCACTCGAAGGGGAGCCAGCATTCATATAGTGCCTTCTGTGTGGCGGGCACTGTGCTAAAAGTTTTGCAGGTATTTCATTTGGTCCTCACAGCAACCCTAGGAGATAGTGCTGTTATTATCCTCATGTTGCAGTTGAAGAAACTGAGGCAAACATAGGTTAAATGACTTTCCCAGGGTCACAGCTGGTTTTGGGTGTGGAGGAGTGTGGGAAGATGAGAAAATAAAGGCTTGGTAATTCAAAAATAAAATAAAAAGATATCTAAGCTATTAATAGCCATGTGGAAAAAAGGTTCCAAATCAGTAATAGAGAAATGCAAATTAAAACAGTTCTGAGGTTCTGCCTCACGCCCATCAGATTGACAACAATTTAAAAAAAAAAAGGAGGGTGATTTGGAGGAACTGAG